TTTTCATGGATGCCTGGATGTTAAACTCAATTGTTACACCTGGTAGAGCAGAATGCTGATCATTTTATTAAAGATGAAAGACTTTAGACAGTTTTTCAACTCTCAGTAATGCTCGTTTGATATATGGACCTGCAGCGGAGTTTAGGCCCAGACACGGCTAGTGACGTCAGACCGGATAGATTCTTTGCATCACCGTTGTTTTGTTTGAATAAATGGCAAAAAATATTCATTTGATGTTTCCCATAATGAGAAACTTTACCTGTGAGTTTAATAAGGATGACAAACAAGCACAAACACTAATACCATCTAATTTAAGCCAAGTGTGGTCGCCTCTAAAGGAAAAGGAATAAAAGATTAAATTTAATAAAATGAATAAACAATCAATATCAATAAAGATGGCAACAAATAATTACTCTCTGTTTTCATTCAGAAACATCTATCGTTTGTAGACGTAGCTATGTCTTTACTTGCATGGTTCTTGAATTTTGACAGGGTGGTATTGCAAACTGCTCCAGGAGTTCAAGGAGCTGCCCAGTACAGCAACATTTAAAAAACAATGCACCCAGAGCACTAGTGAGGATGTTGAGGATTTTTCACTCATGCCTCCTCGTTATCATCATCACCATTCCCTCTCACGCAGGTTAATGATTGGCTTCATGAGCGTCTCGGCATTCCTGTCCATGTGGATCAGCAACACAGCCACCACAGCCATGATGCTACCCATTGCACACGCTGTGCTACAGCAGTTGAAAGATACAGAGACCCAGGCAAATGAGCGTGATCTCCAGACCCAAGATGCGGACAACCACGCATTTGAGCTGGAAGTTCAAACCAAGCTGGAGACGATAAACGAAAGAGACACACAGGATCCTGTGTGTAAGTAAAAATGCTACATACACATATGGGCTTCTAGAAGAAAACCCTTCCAATAACATCTCTGTCTTATTGTGTTTTGATCCAGATGTACATGACACACAGCGAGAGTTCAGAGAAAAAGCCATAGAAGCGAAGTATGACCTTCTGACCAAAGGGATGAGTCTTAGTGTGTGTTACTCTGCCAGCATTGGAGGCACGGCCACACTCACAGGGACCACGCCTAATCTCATCCTCAAGGGCCAAATGGACGAGTAAGGCAAAAACCCCAACTCAACACACAAACAGAAATGATCTTCAAGGCGTGTCACTGCTCATTGAACCACTTGTATCTTCTCTTCACATCCCTTTGTTTTTCTTTCTGTGAAGGATCTTCCCTAACAATACTGACGTGATCAACTTTGCCAGCTGGTTTGGCTTTTGTTTTCCCAGCATGGTGCTCATGCTGGTGCTCGCCTGGTTCTGGCTTCATTTTATGTTCCTGGGCTTCAAGTAAGTATAATCAGCCAGAAACAAACCCAGGTATTTTAAACTATCCTCAGAAAAGCTGCTCAAACAGCACAAAATAAATTAATCTACACTGTAAGTAAAACTGACTTTTTTTTAGCATCTGCAGAGATATGCTATATCTTTTTGTTGCTCTCCTCAGTTTGAAGAAGTCATTTGGCTGTGGTGAGAAAAGTGAAAGCGACAGAGCGGCATACACAGTGATGAAAGTGGAGTACAAGAAGCTGGGACGTATCAAGTTTGCAGAGGTGGCGGTGCTCGTCCTCTTTATCTTGCTCGTGCTTCTGTGGTTTACCAGAGAGCCGGGCTTCATGCCTGGCTGGGCCACAGTGCTGTTCAATAAGGACGCTGCGTGAGTTCTTTTTTAAGCATGACCTTTAGATATAAATGAAGTGAAGCGCCACATATTACCAACAAAAAGACCAAACAGCTAGCCATGAACTGATCAATTCAACACATGCTTTCCTGCGCATTAAAATGTATGCAGCACTTGTGGTATCACCCAGTGGTTTATAAAGTCCTGCATTAATGCCTCGGAGGCAGGATGAGTCAACATATTTTACAAGGAAAGTCACACAAAGTCACCTTTTGTGCTGAATGCACTGAAGTCTACTGAGACACAAATAAAATAAAATAATAATATTAATAAAATAACAAAATAATTTTCAATAATTTTCAAGCTGTGATGTTTTGACATCACAGCTTTGTTTGTGATTCTGCAGCTAACACTTTTGCAATAAAATATAAAAAGTGACCTGATCTCTCTGCATTAAGATCTATAAAGTGATTGGACATTGAGCCAATTCAGCATTGTTAACCAAGGTAGCAAACATGAGCTGACAGATAAATACCTGGATGCTGCTTTAATCCTGCTCAGAGGGTCTGGGTGATTGGCTCTGACCCATTCTTATACAACATCCCCTGCATTCATAAAAACATGCTTACATCACATAAAGTTAACAGATAATTTGTGATGGTGGAATGTCAATCACTAAAACTGGAGCACAGAATGAACAGGCATATATTTTATTAGATTTACATTAAATGATCCAAAAGCAACAGAAACGCAGGTGAGATGCTCACACGTTAGCCTCAGTTTAAACAGGTGCGTTATGAAGGAAAAACAAATGCCAGTACAGTTTTTTTTGTACCAGACAAACATTTTAAGCATTCATTATTTATTTCTGCTGTAAAGTCTACATGAAAAGCTGAAGTGCCCGTCTGAGTATCTGCAATTTGACCACTTCTGAACTGGAGTAATATTTCTGCAGGAAATGTTCACAAGCGCAACAAAGTTGTAGCTAAAGTCCTCATTTTCTTTCTTTCTTTTTTATTAAACTTTCTTTTTTCTTTTTGTTAGTTTTTTATAAAAGAGAAAAATTGGTCAGACTGAAAAAAATGGCAACATAAATGTATGTCAAATACAGTTACGTTGTTTTGCCCCACAGTTGACAGTAAATATGATGTTACACATTTTTCTCTTCATCATTTTTAAAAGGCAGCATATATAATCATGTTCTCTCGTGTCTGTCAGGTTTGTGACAGACGGAACGGTTGCCATCCTAATGTCATCGCTCTTCTTCGTCATCCCCTCTCAGCTGCCGTTTAGCAATTACGGATACACAAATGAAGGTGAAGTATTCATTTTTAACTTTGGTGTAATACACTGCTTCTAAAAATGTTCATGTGAACTCAGTTTGGGCTTACTGGAGCACTGGGCGAAGAATGCTTGGCAGGCTTGATGTTGCACTTTCAAACTAATTACTTGTTGATGTTTAAACTTCATCTGTTTCCCACAGGTAAGAGGATAAAGGCTCCACCGGCTCTGTTGACCTGGAATGTGGTTCATGAACGAATGCCCTGGAATATAGTGCTGCTGTTGGGAGGAGGTTTTGCTCTTGCTGCTGGCAGTGAGGTAAACACCCTTGGACTCCATGTCGTCATCTTTTATTATTTCATTCTCCCTTACAGAATATCTAAAAATAATTTTGGCAGTTAAATGCTAGTCTTGGTGATTACTGGATACTTAAATGATTGAATCAGAAAATAAATACTGGTCTCTTGTTTGTTTTTGGTTATTGAATTTTGGAGGTTTTGTTAATATGCTTATCATTTGCACAAAAATTAATGACAATTCCATCTAGTAGAGGAGAGATTTCAGTCAAGGCCAAATTGGTAGACCGATAGCAGACATACTATGTCATACATACTATTTTTATAGCCATGGTAGTAGCTTTTCTCAAATACTAAACATTTGTTTGTGTATTTTTCCTGCTACCTTTACAGGCATCAAATCTATCCAAGTGGTTGGGAGAAAACCTGTCACCTCTTCAGAATATTCCCCCCTTTGCTATCTCACTGGTGCTTTCCCTACTTATTGCCACATTCACCGAGTGCTCCAGTAACACAGCTACCACCACCCTGTTCCTGCCCATACTGGCGTCAATGGTAAATGGAGCTCATATGTTGACAGATGTGTGCGCACGTATGTTCTCCATGAATCTAACTGTGTTGTGTTTTGCGCTCCTTTAGGCCCAAAATATTAAGCTCCACCCACTCTATGTGATGCTGCCCTGCACTATTGCTGCCTCTCTGGCCTTCATGCTACCTGTGGCCACACCACCCAATGCCATTGCCTTTTCTTTTGGAAACCTCAAAGTCCTAGATATGGTAAGATTGGCATACATATGACATACAAACATATGCTGCCTTTGCGATTTTAGTTTATTTGAGCTAATAAGACTGTCTTTGATTGGCCTTGTTGGAGTGGGAAAAGCAATACAATTGTCCTTCTTGTCACTTCTCAAAGTTACAAGAGAGCTATCTGCTGCTAGTATCATCAATTTGCTCTTTAAAATCAGTGACTATTGAGCTGTATCATGACACTTAAATCAACCTCCATGTGTTGTAGCTCATCCATAAGTAAGTGGTATGTTATCCAGATGTGTGCCAGGCCTGGCGTAGATGGCGCTGTTTATGTGATGCCATGCCATATCTGGCCTGATTGTGGTTTGGTATATGTGACCCAGGAGCATAAAAAACAGGCCTAGCCCCCGGATCTGGCATCAACCTGGCACGTCTGACTGACCGGTGTCATGGCAGGGTGTATGCCAACCAGATGTGGGCCAGGTCTGGCAATGATGGCACTGTTTATGTTCCTATTTTCCTATTTTCCTCCAGTCTGTATGTCAAGTTTGAATGTGTATTAATGTAGTTAGGAAGCACTCAGTTTAGAGAAAGTGTGTGTGATTTGGTGAATGTAGTATATTGTGTAGAGCACTTTGAGTAAGTGGAGTAGAAAAGCTCTATCAAAGATTGAGTCCATTCACTGTCTGAACAGAGTTACTTTTGCACTATTATGTTCCGGCACATGTTGTTATTACATGGCTTGATTAAGGTACACATTAGGCTGACATCTGG